TTTGGGTGAAAAGGATAAGGTGTTTTGTTTTTTGTTTTCTTAATTTGACTAGAGAGAAAGTGAGAAAGCAAGTGGCCAGGTCTGGAATTTGAACCGAGGTCAAACCATGTGTGGGTCTAGTGCCCCAATCACCATGCCACCTGCTGATCCCAAGTTTTGTTTTGGTTATATATATTAAGTCGGTTTGATTGAGGCCAGTCACAATTCAACTATTTGAAGGGGGTAAAGCCTCTTTGTCTTTCCTCTAACTTACAGCAGAATGAACAAGGACTTTGGAATTGAAAGGTCACTGGAGGTTTAAGTCCTAGCTTAGACAGTTGAGTGATCCTGAATGCTACAACTGCATTTACTACACTGTTTTGAAAATCTCCTTGACGGTGTCTGTCTTTTCCCCTAAGCCCTGTGCTGTCCAGTACTATAACCACTAGCCACAGGTAGCTTTGCACACTTGAAAGGTGGCTAGACCAAAATGAGTAGTTGAAAGTACACATTGATTTTGCAGACATGATACCCCTCCCCAATGTAAAATGTCTTATTACTTATGTATTTTTGTTGATTTCATGCTGAACTAATGGGGGGTTTGCTAGGATAAATATATATATTTTTAAAGAGTTTTCTTAAATTTAATTTTAGTTACTCTTTCTTTAAGAGAGATTTTTGTGGGACCAGCAGTTGGCGTAATGATTATGTCGCTGGACTGACACGTAGTTGACTGTAGTTTGAGTCCCAGACCCGGTGGTTTAAACTCACACCAGGCGCATGTGCATGTGTGCCCGAGATCCTGAGAGGAGAATAGAGAAGGGATTGCAGTGTGGCCATCCCCCCTGGGGGGTGATTTCTTGCTTTGTCTCTTTGTGTTTCTCTGGCCTTCTGCCAAGCGCACGCGCCCTATAGCAAAAAAACTCAAAAAAATAAAAAGAGATTTTTGTTATAGGGTGCATGTGCTCACCAGAAAGACAGAAGGCAAGAAATCACCCTCTGGGGAGATGGCCATGCAGCAATCCCTTCTCCTCCAGTCTCTTCTCAGGATCTTGAGCACTTCACACACATATGCCTAGTGTGAATTTTAAGCTGCTGGGTCTGGGACTTGTACCATGGTCAATTACATGGGAGTCCAGTAACAACGTAACCATTACGCCATCTGCTTTGTTGTTCCCTATTTGTTATTACTTTTTAATTTACCTAGAGGGACAGAAAGGGAAAGTAAGAAAGCAGGTCGCTAGGTCTGGGACCAGAACCATGGTCAGCCATGTGGGAGGCCAGTGCCTTAACTCCCATGCCACCTGCTGACCCTGATAAAATATATTATTTAGATTAATTTCACCTGTTTTTTTTTTTTTTTCCCTGCAGATGTGGCAACTAGAAAAATGTAAAACTGCTTAGCTCGCACTATATTAATATTTCTATTAGCACTGCTCTAGAATTAAAACTTGTTTGTGGAGGGGAGCATCTGTGTCTTCTTATGCATCTTTTTACCCTTAGTGCCTAGAACAGTGCTGGGCACATAATAGG